GTGACGTTCCTCCCCCCCCCCCCACCCCCGTGCCAGCAGTAGCGTAAGCAAGGAATTTCAGGGCTGCACCTTTTGACCTTGATATGCAAATCACGCGGTGCCATTAAATTCGGTGTAATTGTGGACAAGGATGTATAAAAAAAAATCCGAAAAGAACCGAATAGAAACCATTTAACAGGTTGGTAAAAACACGACGCGCGTAGCAGGTTGTTGTGAATTGCTGGCTCAGGGGTGTGGAGATGTGAACCGCGACGTGCCCTGCTAGGCGTGTTCTAAGGCCCGGGTCCCACGAATTTGGATGATGGGGGGGCGGGGGAAGACTTGAAATTGACTTTCAGGTGTGCGTCCTGTAGTCTGTCACTGCGGTGTTGTTGTGACGCGGTACGTTTTTAATACGCCACATTGACGTGTACCAAGACGTTGCTCGGTTGTGCCCTTAAAATATGTGCCGTCTCCACTGCTCGTTAGCCTACGATGCTTCATGCCATCTACCCAGCCTGTGCTTCCGCATGAGCTACGATTGTTGGTTTGTTTTCCTTGATAAAAGCCCCATGTTGGTCGACAACTCGTCTTTCACGGAGCCATTTTTCGATTTCTGACTTTGGAGTAGGAGCTTATCCGGGGTGTAAGGCATTAAACCACTAGAGGTGCGAGTTCGGTCTATCCGGAAATGTTTGTTTTTGGTGCCCTAATATGCCTTTAATCCCATGAACATGTTTGTGACGCCGTTGGTGCAGTGCCAAATGATGACAAATCAAAGTGCGAAAAATAATTGTCGGAACCACGTTCTGGGCTGTGCCGGCTGAAGTTGAGCGCCTTTATTCATTCTTGATGCAACGAAAACGATTTCATATTTTCTGCATTTGTCCACCCACTTCTGTGTATAGCATCCATACAGTGTGTAAATAAGCATCATATGCAATATAATGGAAAGAAACTATTCCGTCGGTTTGGTAAACAGGGATGAGGCTGTTGTGATTGGGGGCCCTGCAGCTTGGCATAACATGTATAAAGTCTGCTTATAACAAACGTTTGTGTGTAATGTGGTCTTCCATCGTGTTTTCTGGTGGAGGGAAACAATCAATGAGCTTTTGCAGAAAAAAGCTGGAAGTTTGGACTACCAACATCACTGGCATTGCACCGTGTGCCTCCAACGAGCATCACACGCGCTAAGGCCATTGTCACCACCATTCGGGCTTGCCTGTGCGATGTGTATACATTGCTAAAGGGGAACTTTTTTGCTGCAAGTTCTAACCAAAGCCCATCTCAAACTTCTTTTAATGCGCGCTCTAGTTTGCGCGGTACAAGCCAAAATGTAATCTTAGAGCTACGCGGCACAATCGCGAAACCCTCCCAGTGGTAAGTATTGAAGAAATGTCCCAGCCTATGCATTTCCCGAACAAACAGGGCCTCTGTCGTGGGAACGGGTTTTTTTTTTCCTTGTATGGCACGATGCATTGAGTCACTTGGTTTGCGGCAGCGACATTCTTGCCCCCACCGCTCACCCCCACTGCATGTGTCTGCATTGACCCCCCCCCCCCAACTTCCATTCATCCCTGACAGCACAGGGACCTGCTTTGTGTGGCGACCAAGGGCTGCGTTTGTGTGACTGAGCGGACATGGGAGAGAAATATATTTATATAGCGGCGGCGACTTAATTATAGTCTCACTGCTTTAAATCGGAGAAATGGGTCTTTATGGGTGTGTGTGTATAGGCCGAGTCGCGGACATCGGTGTCCCTTCGCTCTATCGGATTGGCTGTAACAATTGCAGCCAGTGGAGTCGCGTAAATTGTTTGATTCTTGAAATCGAATTGAAAGGAGCTGTGGTTTTTAATCGTTTTCTTTCGTAAATAATTAATCGCTGGAGATCCGTGAAAAAAGCGCTTCATTTCTCTGGATATTTCCAGGAAAATCGGATTCTGTGTTTTTAGGGGTATATGGACGATTCCCAAGACTTGCTTTTGGCTTTAAGGCAGCTTTGTTTTAATTGGCAAGGCGGGTAGACCCAGGGGTCGTGCAGGGCTGTGTAGAGGCGCTGGTTATTTGATTCTTTATGGGAAATTGACAGGGAACGCAAAGGGGGGTGAACTTTCTAAAGAGGCCCTCTTATGCTGTGTGGCTGATGTAGATGCACAGCAACTACAGTTTCGCATTCAGGTGGTCGAGTCGGGCAACCTCGTCAAGAACAGCGGCAAAATACTCGCACTTCGCCCGGGCAAGAGTCCCTCATTGTTCGGTTTGAGGATCTTGTCTAAGGAGCCATGTGGCGCGTCGTTTGGCCCTCGAATACGGCCATTGGCGCGTGGTGTTTGTTGTCGCTCTGGAGACCCCGGGGGGTCGATGTTCGGTCGCCGCGTTGATGGCATCCGTCGTGATGTCTCACTTGGCAGAGATGGGGCCGCGTGAAGGTCGCTGTCCTCCACTCCCGTGTGACGTGGCCATGCGAGTGGTGGTGGTGAGTGGCAGCTGTAACGCCATGGCGTTGTAGCAAAGGAGCCGACGGTGCTGTCACGGCAAGGAGGAAAGAAGTGGTGCATTCACCAGCCCCGTGAAACAATGACCTCCATTCAAGGGGTGGGAGGGAGGTGGGCTGGGGGAGTCCAAATATAGCACAACGAAATGTATTGGAATATTTATTTATACTGGAGGAATCTGAGCTATAAAGTTCTATTCACAGATGTCCAGTAGGGGCAGGTCTGTTTACATTTTAAACATTCCTACGGAGGGAGCTGGTAGGAACGTTGGGTTGCTCTGTCAATGGCCAGGGTCAACGGCGGCGTGGTGTATTCCGCAAATATGGCCGACTGAGGGTGGGCACAAGCCGGCGTGAGTAGGTTAAACGTTGAGTTTTATAAGGGCACCACGGGGTGACCAGCCCCTCCCCACCCAGCCCCACCCCTCCCAGCCCCCACCCACCCAGCCCCCACCCAGCCTCCCCACCCTCCCCTCCCCACCCAGCCCCTCCCTGCATGACGGACACAATCCCCTGTGGGCTGGTGTCACCTGGCGGTTCCTACCAGTGCAAGGGATTATAAAACCACCACTCAATACCCCCATACCTACACAGGGAGACCCGAGATTGTGGACAATAAGAGCTGGAGACTGCACTTGTTCACACCATGGGACCTGATGACCGTCACCTTTCGACGAATCTCTCCACGATTTCGGGAAACTGTTGCGAACCATGGCCGAGATAAGCGCGTGACAAAAGAGAACATCCGAACGAGATTTGGCAACTGGAACTCGGGTCACTTGAACGGCCAAGCTAACGTGGAAATATCCAGGGATTTCTGTATAGCAACATGTAGTGCAGTGGTCATCGTTATGGGTTGTCCATTCATGGATGTGACTCCAGCCAAGTTGATGCAGTCACGAACACACCACTGTGTTTAGAAATTGCAAGCGAAGTTTTGGGCAATATTTGTGTTCGTGCAACTGCTCTACTAATTGCTGCATTGCCACTGTTCTCATGATGAAATAACGCTAATGTCTAAATCAAGTGATGTGTGGCCACCCCCACTTAATTCCTTCCTCCTCCCCCACTCCCTGTGAAAACAGACGCGGCTCCGTGCCGCTAACGTGTTTGCTCTCCTGCCATTCTTCCCTCTCCTCTCCATCATCATCATCACCCCTCTCACAATCCCCGACATCCTGACCCAGCCATTCCGTCTCCCTCCTCACTTTCCTGCTGCTCACCTTGAGCCGTGTCCACCTCTCTGTCTCGGGAACTTCCTTGTCTCTACCCCTCTTCCCGTGGTGTGAAGGAAACAAACGTTTTTATCACGGATACATGAACAATTTAATGCGTGTTATACATTCAAACAAATAAGTAGTTCAAAGTGCGGAAAACAAATGTTCTTTGTCTCCTAGTTGAAGAGGAAACCCCCACCGAAAACAAATGAAGACAAACTATTTGGACGAATCGCCTCGTACAGAATCATCTGGGCTGTGGGTGTGACTGATTCTCAACCCTGTAGAATATAAATACACATACCAGGGGCAGTGGCACCATGTCCTTACTGAGAGCCGAATAGGCCTTTCAAATAACTTTGGACCACACATCAGCACGCAACTAGTAGCGGTATATGTTTATACGCTGACAAATACGTGTACGGTATACGGTGTCAAGAAGGGGAAGGAGACGGCCAAGGCAGTGCTCATGACCGTCACAGCTTTAAGTGGCTGATCCACGTTCACAAACTTGCCCATCTGTGTGCGTTCGTCATGTGCGTTTCACCATTTCACAAACACCACGTTGCAACGTTGCTTACACGTGCGGGAAGTGGTGAATAGCGGGCTCGTTGGCACATCGCTTTAGAATTCGTGTGACCTAGGTGAAGTTACTGCACGAGTTGGGGAAAACAAAGCCCAGCGAACGATTGCTGCATGAACCTGGCCTGTGCCAACCAGGGATTGACTCTGCTCAAAATATCTAATGAGCCTTTTGTATGGTCTGGGCAACATTATTACTGGGGGGGCGGGGGGAGACACAGACGTGGCCAGGTGCTCGCAGCGCTAGCCCCACCGCATGATTGTGACACTGTAGGGTTATAGGTGCTCGCAAACAGCAACTTCTTACAAGGGGTGGACACAGCGATTTTCGAACTCACAATACACATGTTGAATTGTGTGTAGACATCATGTCCTTTGTAGCCACTAGAGGCACTACTATTCACGACAATGGAAAACATATATAAGGAGAATCGATCCATTATTTGAATCAACGCCCTGAATGAAGCTATTTCAAAAAATCACCGACGGTAAAGAAGAATACAGATTCATCGTAAAGCATGTGTTTATTTTCTTCGATCACATGGTCACGTTGGCATTTGGGTAGCTTTTATAAAAAAATAGTTTTGCAATCTTTTGTGAGTGGTGGCCCGATTTTCTGGACTGCAATTGAAGTAACATGTGTTGTGCAAAGGAAACACATTTCTCACACGTCATACAAAAACCGCAACCACATTCACTGTAAACAAAAGTGTGTCCACACGCAAGCCTTGTGAGATAAACTTCATTTTATTTCCAACTAAATGTTAATATGCAAAATACGATTATATTTGATTACTTATTTCTTGCGATTAATAATGCTAATGCTATTGTTTTAGAGAGAGAAGCAATTGTGGAGCACACATTGAGATTATGCGGCTTCTAATTCGAAACAAAAAAGGTGAGCGACAGTACATAACATGCAAACATTCAAATCGTAAACTATGTGTAAAAACCCCACGTTAAATATCGTCTATGTCAAATGCGTCAGTCGCACTGAAATTCAAACGTATGTCCCATCATGATCGCCTGTCCGGTGTAACTCCCAACGTATTCACGTTCCCCTCTGCTCCAGTCTGTCAACATTTGCGCAGTGGGAGGTCACACCTTTGCTACTTCAACCATCGGTTATCTCTTACTCTGGCCATCCTCACTGCTTGAGACATCCTGTTCAGACCAAGGCTCAAGACGGTCTGCCTCTCCGAACGAAGTGTTTGCATCTGTACTTCCAACAATAAAGTTGTATACATTTTGCCCTTGTGCCCCTTGCAGTCTATGCCACCATTCCTCACTCAAGCTAAAACTCCCCAAACTCCCCCTCTCACCTCTTTTTCAATTACTCCACATGGACGTTTGAATTCCTTTGCCACAATTTACATATGAAAGTTGCATTTAGTACAATTTGCGTCTGTATTTCTTTTTTCCATTCCAGGTTGTGTAAAGAGTAGCATAGCTCACCGGTGTGTGTGTGTTTAGGGTTGTACCACGTGCTGTTCGTTAGGATGTACCAACGTTTCCGCTCGGCAGTGGAGCGGAACGCGAGGCATCATGCTGATGTGCTCGTGAGTACAACCGCAGACAACAACGGCGAGTTGTGCAACGCAACCGCGAAAAACCGACGCAAGTTGTTGACGTTTTTAATCATTGTGCAAGAGATGTGAAAATACAGGGTTCTCGTTAATAACAGTGGCTACAATATCAAATAACTATCATGAAGAGATGATATTAATATAAGCAATGAAAAAAACAACAGTATACATGCTAAATGAAAGTAAGTGTTAAAAATCTATTATTTAATATGTTCGGATATAGAGTAACACTTTATATCATCTGTGTATATTGGTCATATTTTAAAAGCAAATGTTTGTAAATTAATCTTTAACTCCTGGTCGCACATCAATAGCAAACACAGTCTTACAAAGTCGCTAATTTGTCTTCTCGCGTGTAATGTATTCCTAATTGTCCAGCTGCGTAGATGTGCAAATGAATCATTACCCAGAGGACTTAGGTGTCTACTGATTTTATGAATGTCGAGTGGAAGTGTGCTCATCAAAGCCATCAAGTAGACTGGCTGCGTGCTTGAAAAGCTAACTGTGCATCTGACTCATCCAAATGACTCGATGTTTGTGTGTCTGGCTAATTATAAAGGTGCCTCGCTGTGCGCCGGAATAATTATCTGACTAGGCTGAACATGTCTGGTTTTTGTACGTGTGCCCAAATAATTGTCTGGCGGGCCAAATGCATGTTTATATTTGCCTAGCCAGCTGGATGATGTGTTCCTAATTAGGCGTTTGGCATGGTAGAAGGTTTGATTGGGTTGTTTTGCTCGCAGCTTTGACTGAGCACCTTGGTCTGCTTGCGCCAGGGGATTGTCCACACCTCAAAGCGGCACTTGAAAACCTGGCAAAGGATGGCCACGTACAGAAAGACTCTTACACTGAACAGCAATAACAACAGAAACAACATCTGAATTCATATCCTTATGTGACTGTGTGGGTTGACCCTTATGGCTTCATGTACATTAATTTATACATTTTCAAATGTACAACAAAAAACTAATTTGATGTATATTTTTAATGATATTATTTATAACTTCACATCTTATTGCTCATAGTAGTGTGGAGCAGCATTCACCTCCTACATGTGGCTCTTAGCTGGTGGTGAAGCTTTCACATTCCCATGACAGGAGCCGGTCTGACCATATTACAACCACTGGTGATTTCTCATAAAGGAGCAGTCATTGCAATGAGAAATGGTAATGATGGGCCAAAACGTCGGCAATTTTTATATATATAATTGTTATGGCCGAGAGTTGATCAGCGATGTTTATATTGTCATATCGAGACTGGCGAGTAGCCTGCCTTCAGGAGCTTCCTCCCAACTTTGTAGTCCAGAGGTCATTTGGAGGGGAGCTCTGCGATCTACGCTTTTGCGGACCATTCTCAAACACGAATGGTCGTCACGGCTATGCAAGAGATGCAAATGGATACTTCGACTCATTACGTGATGCCGATTGCACAAAGAGGGGATTTTTTTCCCAAGCATTGGCTGTACTCACAGTGGCTACGCCATCGTCGTGAAAGTTGCAGTCCTCAGCCACTCGCTCCTCCATTTTCAAGCATTCCGTGCTCTTCAGGTCCGCCTCAAAGATGTACTTGAGACCACTCACAATCTGCACCATCAAGCGATAAAGTGAACATCAGTTCGTAGCAATAATAATAATAGGGGCTTCATCTGCCACTGAATGATTTCTGGGTGGCTGGTGAACTGGAGCAGGCACATGATCCAGTAGTCACATCGATAGTGAGAGGTAAGACTGGATATGGTGTGCCAGGTACATGTCGCAATGCACGAGGATCCTGCATTTTGACGTTTGACTAAATCCATTAACTTTGGTTCGTGTTGGAGGAAATCACAATACAAATCACAATACACGATTGACGAACGTTCGGTTTACAAAATTTTGCATTAACCCAAATGACAAATCAACTTTTCGAATTGTATTCCACGTCATGAAATTTCACACAGCACGTGCCATGAGATCAAAAAAGAACCATCGCCCAGGAGGCTGTCATTCTTCCACGACAGTGTCACGGTATCCTTAAGTGCCACAGTCAGGTTTCCACATCACCTTTGCAGTCAAACCAACATGCATATAATTTGGGGAGTTCCCTGAAAAGGTTAATTATTTTAGTTTTTAATTACTTATTATTGAATAGTTTTAATATTTATGTTCTTATTATTTTTGTATCGTTAAAAGTGATATAGGTATATATTTTAGGTTAGGAGTACAGTTGGAATGACTGTCCGAAACACATCCCTAATTTTTACTATTAAATTAATGGTAAAAGCCATTCCGATTAACAAAATTTCGTTTTACGTGTTTTTTAAGAACGCATCTCTTTTATAAATCGAGGGATACCTCTACCTGGGAAAACCTGCCACGCATACGATGGGATATCACTCAAAAGTCCACAACTACAGGCTAATAAACCCACTTGCTGTACTACCATCTAGCATTCTAGGTACTTCACAGCCAAACAGGTTTGAACGTTTTACAAATATGTATCCACCAACTCTTGCCTCCACAGGGCTGGATTTAAAGCATGCACAACCACAGCCCTTTTGTCAATCCACCTGCTGGATGAGGGTCTCTCCATGCCTTGTAGATCGTTGGGTTTATTTGACCATACTTCACCACACTGGTCAGTGGGGGTTGGTGACGTAGCAGCAAATAAGTGTAGTCCAACATATTTGTCTGCACTTGCAGACTACTGTCCACAACGTAACACAGCCCCATAGCCCATGCAACCTATTTGTGAATTAATGATCACCCATCCAAGTACTATCCAAGCTCCAGCCTGCTTAGCTTCCGAGATTTGACAATCATTTTGGATTATTTGGTCATAGACGGCTATAAGCAGGGTGTGGAAATAGTCGAGGGCCTGTGTTTTGCATGAGGCCCAGTCTAAAAGGTCAACATTTACGACCCTAACAGCAGTCACGAGCAAATGACACTTCGTATGTGGGGTTTTGTTAAATATTATTTGTAGCTGTGTGGTATATAGCATTACTGCTCATCAACAATCAGCTTAAGTTTAGGCCGCACAAGTTTGAATTTAACCTAAAATATCGAACTGTTAGATACATCAGGGTAAACTGTACTGTTTCTATACAAAGGCATCCTTCTAAGGGTGGGAGGGATCTAATACGGCCCACGACTTCATTTCATAGGACCCACACCATGTCAAAACAGCCCACAAACAATATGTATCCGCCACTCATATCATCTTAGCCGTCCTAATTGGGTACCCATCAGGGAACGTTCAACCTAGCATTGTAAGTCAAATATTGTACTTTATGTTAAATACGCGAACGTTGGCATGTGGTTGGAACCGTTGGACCGACGTTGGCCCAACGTTCAATGTTTATGTTGAGAGTTAAATTGAGGCCCACCAAAGATGCCGCCTGAAAGTTCTATTCGGTCCGCACTAAGGCAAAGGTTCCCCAACACCCCTTCGAATGTGTTAAGTACAACACTGAAACAGCGCCAATGTTAGTGTAAACACATCCAAAAACACACACAAAATCCCTCCGTGCACACATATATAGTCTACCCAGTGAATATTGAACGTTGAACCCACGGTTCCAACCACATGCCAACAACGTTGGCATGTTTACTGAGTAAGGCCCTCTGTGTATACATGACTGTCTGTGTGTGTAAAAGTTGACTGCGTGACATTTTGTGTGTTGGGCGTGGGGACTCAACTTTATGGACAATAGCCGATGATGACATTGTTCTATTCTCGTAGTTGCTGAGCACAGACCATAATCGTTGGGCGGCCAGCAACAAACGGCACTATCGAAGTTGCAATACAGTCTGTATATACGAGTTAACACGTATTTTGAGTACGACGTTTCGCTGGTAATTGCATCCAGCATCATCGGGCAATTCACGCTTCAACACACCGGTGGGCTAAAGTAGTTAAACTATTTGTCTTTTTGTCAACGTGACACTTTTTTGCTGATTGGCCGTGTCGGGTGGTGGAGGGTTACGACACATTTATTAATAACGAGATCTAAACCCAAAAACGTTGATTATGAATAATATTGATCGCGAAAGCCTACGAGTTAACATGTTTATTTAAGGTTGAGCAAGTTTATTCTGGAAGACCTTTGGGTATGAACCCGGCCACCCGAGTTAGATTCCGGCTCACGGCCAACACACCAGTGACCGATTCATCTGAACCGGTTATGGGCCTCCCCTAGGTCGTCTCAGCCTCAAATCAGTAGCACCTGGTGCGGTGTGTAAACATGGGCAATGGGGAGACAAAGGCGGCCGGGCGTGGTGTTGGCCACCCCACCCCCTCGCTAACAGCACTTGCCCCACCCCAATCAGCTAAGCAAGACCACAATGACATCTTTGTTTTGTCTAGACCCGGAGTCGGCAGCCAAAAATAACAAGAGATATTTTTTTTATTCTGTAAAAAAAAACTATATATTTTAAGAGACGGTCCTTAATAGAATAAAACAAAAATATCGTCACGAATATACTGACACAGCCGGAAGGAGGAGGGGGAGGTCTATCCCGTGATAACAACAACAACAAAAGAGTATCATAGCTCAATGGGATTCCTCCAAAACAAAACAAATTCTGACAAAGACGACCCTGCCATTTCCACGCGGCGTCGACGTGCACCTAGCCTGGCACCGGCGGTCTGCTGCTGCGTGTCCACCCGTCAACGTCTCTGACCTGGCGTGTGGCCTTCGTCACCCTGTCGAGTCTGTAGACCGTGCGGCTGTTGAGGCCCGAGTTGAAGAGGCGAGTGGCCTCAGCGGCCGCCGTGTGGAGGCCCGGGTCCGTGGTCTGGATGGCGGTCGGGGCACCCAGCATGGGCCTCCAGCGAGTCTCGGGCAACGCCTCGCAGCAGAAGTAACAGAGGCCACACAGCAGTAGGGACAACGATGCCACACGGGACATCATCTTGATGGTGTGGTACGATGTGTGGCCTCGCGATGTGTGATGCAGGAGGGAGGCTGGTGGTCGTGGTGGTGGAGCAGGATGGAGGAGGTCACACGCGACAACAACAGCGGCAGCTGTTGGGGGGAGGAGTTTCAACAATAAAGGGGCGGTCCGTAAATGACGTCACGCGATTTTTTTTTGACTCCTCCCCCTTCTCCCTCGTCACGCGGCTTCACAAGTCAGACCCCCCCTCCCCCTCAGATGTGACGTCACAAAGCTCTGCATGCCCCCCCCCCCCCCCCAAAATAAAACATGCTTTAAACTATTGATTTAAAGCTTTCGTGACTGCAGGGATTCATATTCTTGGTTCTTTCGGTAAAGTCACGTAGAAGGGAAATAATAAAATAATACAAATATAAAACAATACAAATTCTCACATTTTTATTTTATTATTTCCCTTCTACGTGACTTTACCGAAAGAACCACAAGTATGCTTCAAACTATTGTCATTGTAGTGCGTATTTAATGTGGCGCTGCACTCTGATGTTGTAGGAGAAAACATTTATTTAAAAAAAATATTTCATTAAGTAGAACGTGTTGTCTATATTTATTTAAAGTTGCGCATTTTGATGTGACATCACATTACTAACACCCCCCCCCCCGTCACACATCGTCACAAATGTCTAACCCCCTCTAGGTGCGTGACGTCATTTATGGACGGCCCCAAAGACAAAGATCCCCCATCCCCTCCCCTCCGTGTAGCCTGTAAGAGACTGTTGGGGCAAGTGCTGTGAGCGAGCAGCACCTATGAAGGTTGTCGACACTGTGGCACACGAGGGGGTGGGTGGCCGGCACCCCCCCCCCCCCAGTGGCGATGTTGACTACACCACCACACCAGGTCCTCATTTGCGGCTGAGTCGACCTAGGGGAGGCCCAGGGACCGGATTCAGATAATCGTCACCGGTGTTGGTGGGTTGAGCGGGTGTCGAACTCGGATCGCCAGGTTCGTAGCGCAGCGCCCTGACCGCTACACCACCGCTCCCCCACTGCAACACAAAGACAAAGGTCCCCCGTGTAGCCTGTAAGAGACTGTTGGGGCAAGTGCTGTGAGCGAGCAGCACCTATGAAGGTTGCCGGCACTGTGGCACACGAGGGGTTGTGGCCGGCACTACCACGCCCGGCCGCACTTTGCCCCCCCCAGTGGCGATGTTTACTACACACCGCATCAGGTACTCATTTGAGGCTGAGTCGACCTAGTATAAAGAACGACCCCAGTGACACCGCCGCTTGTTTGTTTTCTTGCGGTGTTGCCAACCTGTCCGAGTTTTCTTCTCATTGGATTCTATTTTTCGCCGGATTCTATTTTTAAAGAATGGGTGGCCAGCATTGTGTTCTTCAAGAGCTAAATGTTAGGCCATGACGAGAGGGCTTCAGAAGAGAGAGATGTATAGTTCGTGAGTAGTTGTATTATCCCAGTGGTGTATTTGTTATATGGGTCCATAATTTGGGCTGCAAGGCCACAATGGCACGACTGTGAGACGTGTCTTTAATGTATCTCTATGGTTCTCTATGAGTCTCTGTAGTTTTATGTTTACATGGCCCATAGTTTAGGTTGCGTTGCCACAATCGCTCGACCAGTATCTTCGAGGAGGAATATCTAAGCCAGGAAGTGCGATGTTTGGCTCCAGAAATACGTGTTTATTCTGAAGTGTCGCTAGATTTGTGTGAACACATGTTGAACTTATTTTGCGCCGTACGTAGCCAACCACGCTAAACGGAGGTGCGGGGGAAGGACAACAAACTGAACACAAAAAACATTTGGAAAGAAATTAGTTTGTCCCTCTATATTTAAAAGTGCATAGCTCCAGTGGCTTCCTAATATCAGATGAGCGCAATGCAGTTGACCGTCTTTGTTCCAGCCAAAAGGATGTGCCACAGCGATGATAGCGACACATCGAGTGACTTTATGGGATGAGGACATTATGCAGTTTTAAGTGCGATTCCAGGTCTGGATTAAAGATCTGGCATCAATGTCCTATGGTGAATACCGTAATTAATGGTAAATTGCTTAGTGACATTATTCCAGGTATGCATTCAGGATCCTGTTTAAATGCACTTTTTGTTTACCACAATGTGGTAAAACTATTTGTCATTAGTCCATGCAATTAGTAAGGATCTTGTATCTGGTCACAGTGTTGATATACTGCACTTGTAAATTGTCCAGTGGTGCATTTTTTTATGACATTAACATGTCTCTTGTAGCGACATCTAGCGTCGACTATTCGAGGCTCATATAGCGACGAGAATGAGTTAGCAACACTCGCTGTAGAACCCGTCATGCCGTCACGGTTCCGTCCCAAACAACCCACGTGGCTATAATTAACACCCCGCCGTCCTAAAATGTTATATAAACACCCTCCTGGAAATATAATGAAAACATCGCAACAGACCGTCGAAAACTAAAACGCACTACATGTCTCCAACACGTTTTCTCAATTCTAGATTTGAAGCTTTCGTGACTGCAATGATTCATATTCTTAGTTCTTTCGGTAAAGTCACGTAGGTAAAAAATGAAATTAAAATTAATAAAAAATAAAATAAAAATCACGACGTTTCGGAGGCAACACAAGTCTCCGTCATCAGGTGGGACCGTCACAGCCAGATTTGCTGTATCAAGTGAGGCAGGAATTCAAGATGTAAGCCCTTAAATACAAGTTGGGGGGGAGGAGAGAGGGGGGTGGCTTATCAGACACAGCAGCAGATGTGAGTGTGAAAGCGATGGGTATTACCTTGTTATCGCGGCATCTCTTGAGGAAGGTCAACGTCTCGAGAAGCTGTGACTTCTTGTCTCGTCTGTTAAAAACTCTAACAGATAGGTGGAAATCATCCCCGTAGAGGGTATTAATTCTAGATTTGAAGCTTTCTCAAATTTATTGTCAATCCCTGCATGAGGGCCTCCCCACGCTGCATGGATCGTCGTGGGTTTTTGTCAATGCAGGTTGGTAAAGGCAGGGGGGGGCATATACTTTTGTGCACCGTATAGTACAATAATATATAGAGTAATTTAAAAACAACAATACCACAAGAAATGTGCCTCCGGGCTCTGGAGACCACCTGGAGAAGATTCCAGGCATGTGTTGACAATGATGGCGAATAAGTGGAGACTCTGACTTTTTGAAGCTATTAACATACATTTCTTATCGTGTTACAGTGTATTATCCGTTATTTTTCCATTATAAAAACGATAGTCCCATATAAGTGTTAACATTTTTTTAAGCATCATGTTTATTGTGCTGTTAACGCCCTCTTCCAACAACTTAAACATACTTCAAAAAGCCACAAACATGCTGTTCACTCTCTATTTTAACACACACGTCTAAAATTAACAAGTTATATCTTCAAATACACACTTGTGCCCTTTCAACTATTTGTATTCAATCACGACACCCTCTAGAACACACACGTCTACTACACACTTCCTAAATATATACACAACACTCTCAATTGTTCTCCAACAGTTCTAAATGCCCTCTAAAGCGTGTCATTGCATCTTCTAAAATACGAGTGCATTTACATTCCTTTCCACTGCTGGATCGTGGAGGGATTTGTGGACATACATCACCACGCCGGTCAGTGCGGGTGAATGAAGGTGAACAGCAGAGACGTTGGATTTTGGTCCACTGCGGCACTACCCCTGCTGACAACATAGCCTCGACCATACAATAGCCATCTTAACAGTGCAATAATCTACACTATCAAACAACCCTGCAAAATACTCAAGTTCAAGTTAATTTATTAGGTATAGCCCTTGAGCCATTCGGCTCTTGAATCGGGTGCAACCGCAACAAACAGAAAACAAAAACATGAACAAGAAAACATCTTAAAGTGAATATGTGACTGTGCAAACAGAAAATCCAAGAAAAGACAGCAAAATATTGCAGAAAAAGCACCGTACAACAACGCCTTGTGCAAAAATCCCAGTGGGATGCAAGTAAAACAACAACAACAACCACAAGACAACTTAGATTAAGGCCATCAGTCTAACTCCGTACATTCCACAAAGCTCACCGTATGTCAAAACACCCTCAAACTAATTCCACACCCTGAAAATACAAAAAAACGCCATAAAATCAATCCCACAAACACTCGCCGCAACGTCTCTACCAGCACGCTCCCCGAGGAGATGGAGCTATTAAATCAGTCGTGTGTAGAGAGGAGCTGAGTTGTTACATGGCTAGACGTTTGAGAGGTTAGAGGGGTCTTTGGAGGCCTTTATCACTACGTGGATTGATCATGACAGATGTTGCGGTGATGCGTGTATTTTAGGGAAAAAATTTAACATTGATCTTTCACGGACGTTTTCTCGTCTAATTCAAAACACAAACATCCACGTGTCACCCTAAACGTGTTCCGGTAAACACCACGTGGTTCACGTGATCCCCGTATAAAGTATCCTTGTGATGTCAGGAGTTGTGATAAAACTAAAAGTTATTTGAGGCATCAGAAGTCGAGTCAGTGAGCTGTTATGTACAAAAACAAATTATCCATTCCAGTACAGAATTTTGTATTCTAAAAGCAGTTAAAATGTAACCTGGATTTAATCATTCATCCTAACCAGGTTAATTAGACCAGGTGCAGCAACGTTAATGTTCTCTGTCCGGTTACTGAGTAATTATAGCACAAAACAATATAAGTAAAAGCCGATGTAGGTTTGGTATTAAATTGGTCTTTCGCAACGATGACAGAGATATATTAAGTCCTCAGGCACAAAACGGATTTTTTAAATTGAAATGTGAGGAGCGGTGGCGCAGTGGTTAGCAACCAACATTGGTGAATGATATATGCACTGATCCTGAACAAACCCACCCACTCAATCTACCCGCACTGACCAGAGTGGTGAAGTATGATCAACAATCCCCCGTGAGTGACTCGGCGTGGACACAGGCCATCATTAGTAAACTCTATATTATAAAAAGTGAACTAGAAAGTCAGGGTAAGATAGCCCGCTTTTAAAAGATTTTGGACCAAGCGTTCTTCTCTGTGATGACTTTTGTTTAATGCCGAGCAAAGGTCCAAAAACGTCAATTGGCCAGAAACAATGAGCACCGTCAAACTTTAAATAGATAAGACCTTTTGATTTAAAGCTTTCGTGACTGCAGGGATTCATATTCTTGGTTATTTCGGTAAAGTCACGTAGAAGGGAAATAATACTGGTAGGAACGAAGTGGACCAGACCACCAATAGATTAATGTGTCCGTCCGTCCGTCCGTGGGAGGGGTGGTGTTGAGGGTGGTGTTGGAAATGAAAGACTACGAGTCTTTAAATCTCACAGCGTTTCTTGTCAAAACAAACACTTTTAATTAACGTTACAATAGAATACAGTAATTTTTTCTTTAACTCCTCTATACCCGGTCGATATCTCTGTACCGGTACTAAGTATTATTCCTACCAGCCCACCCCGCAGGGTCCTGTTAAAACAATACAAATATTAAACAACAACAAATTCTCACGATGTTTCGACTCAAAACTTTTAAAAGATTTTGGACCAAGCGTTGTGAAATCCACAGCAAGAAAATGTTCTTCCTGTGGATTTCACACCTGATGATCCACTGCAAGAAAATGTTCTTGCTGTGGATTTCACACCTGATGATGATTGCTTGTGTTGTGCTGTGCTTATCATCAAGTGTGAAATCCACAGGAAAAAAAAATTCTTCCTGTGGATTTCACACCTGATGATCCACAGCAAGACAATTTTCTTGCTGTGGATTTCACACCTCATGATCCACAGCAAGACAAAATTCTTCCTGTGGATTTCACACCTGATGATGATTGCTATTGTCACTTAACTCTTGGCGGCCTGTGTCCAAGCCAGGTCACTCACGGGGGTTGTTTGACCATACTTCACCACTCTGGTCAGTGCGAGTAGATTGAGTGGTTGGGTCTGCTCAGGATCAGTGCATATATAGATTTTTTATTGTTTTATATTTGTATTATTTTATTATTTCCCTTCTACGTGACTTTACCGAAAGAACCAAGAATATAGATAAGACCTTGTTGAATTGAGTAAAGATATAAGCATTTAGGGGAAAACGACGATGGGAGGGAATTCAATAATCGAGCAATGCGAGAGAATAGGCAGTGTGATGAGTTGGCAAACCTGTCAACCCCTTATCAGTGCCTACCTTACTTATTACAGACCAATTCAGACCTTATTGGTCACCTCGTGCCCTTATAAATCTCAACATCCATCCTACAAAGTCACATCAAAAAGGAGAAACGCAAATACACAAACATTGAGTTGTTTTGCTCGTATTGGAACGGCTGTACGCCGCATGGACCTGCAAACTCAGTTTCGCTGTACAAGAATACGGGTACACCGTATGGGTTGTTGACAGGTATGACTTGGTGTGTTGTGATTGGCAGTGTGGTGAGTTGGTGAGTGGGTTGTGACATAAAGTATGGTGATTTGGTGAGTTTGGCTATTGAACACGGTACGCATGAGATGGCACATTCTAATACACTCGAGTCCTCGTCGATTTCTCCACGTGAACAAAACAGCGAGCATGAAAATGCAAAAAAAAACCTTGTACAGTACAGCACTTAGACTTTACTGAACTCCCCCCTTATGCTTCTCCCCTTACGTAAGATGGCTGCCAACACTAAACTCGCCCCCCACCCACAGCCTCTCCCCCCTACGTAAGATGGCCACCAACTCGAAACTGGACCCCCCCCCCACAGCCTCACCCCCCTACGTAAGATGGCTGCCAACACGAAACTCGCCCCCCCCCCCACAGCCTATCCCCCTACGTAAGATGGCCACCAACTAGAAACTGGACCCCCCCCTACAGCCTCACCCCCTACGTAAGATGGCCACAACACTAAACTCGACCCCCCCACCCACAGCCTCTCCCCCCTACGTAAGATGGCCACCAACTAGAAACTGGACCCCCCCCCCCACAGCCTCACCCCCCTACGTAAGATGGCCACCAACAAGAAACTGAACCCCCCCCCCCCCCCCCACAGGCTCACCCCCTACGTAAGATGGCCACCAACTCGAAACTGGACCCCCCCCCCCAAAGCCTCACCCCCCTACGTAAGATGGCCACCAACACGAAACTGGACCCCCCCCCCCCAAAGCCTCACCCCCCTACGTAAGATGGCCACCAACTCGACCCCCCCCCCCCCTCCAGCAGAAGTCACGTGCGCGCGTTTAGCCCAATGGCGAGGCGTAGCGGGCGGGCGCGAGAGGTGGGGTGGGGTGGGCACCTAACGGTGGTGCTCGAGGGGCGATTTCCCGCGTAATTAACGGGTGCCGCTGCCGCCGCCACCGTCGAGAGGAGAGCGCCGAGCGCCGATACCGACACCGCCGCCACCGCCGCCGCCGCTGCCGCAAGAGTCCCTCGCTCTCTACCACCACACGTCTGTTCGCTCCCTCCCGACATGGTGAGCGAGGCGCTGGGCGATTGGGGTTTGCGTGAGGGAGATGTTTTGCCGCGAATAATTTATATCGCGACTGACGCGCGACAACTAAAAAACATATTTTTATGCGACTTTTACCTCGGAAAAAGATGTAATTGTAACGCTGTCTGTGGGTTTTAATTAAAAGTGTAATTTTATGAGGGACCGACGATTTTTTTTTGGGGGGGGGGGGTATTTTTCGCGTCGTGTAAATTTCACCTCGTCATCGTTGCAATTGTCATTAAATCACTGCGTCGCCTACACGTGTTACACTGATTTATATAGCGCCAGTTATCATTTACTTCACTATTGTACGCGGTGTGGGGGTAAAAACAATATATACATAACCAGAATATGTTTGACTGACCAGTGTTGTGTTATTGTTGTCTTTGTCGAGGGGACGACTTTATTTAAATGACGCATTTGCGCTCATTACTTAACAAAAAATCGACACAACAATCGTCGATACCCTCTGATAAACACGATGTCAACACCAATTAGCTTTTGTTTGTTAAAGACTGCGTGGTTACAAGGGGGCCCCTAACATCTCCTGTGTGAGGACGACGACGGCCATATTCTACCTCGTGTCGTACCCCCCACGTCTCCATCTCTCTCTCTGGTCTCTCTCTCCTCTTCTTCGTGTCTCTCTCCTCTCTCTCTTCTTTCGTGTCGCCGCTAATTTTAGCTTCTGAGCCGTGGTCGGGGTTCGTGTTGCCTTACTTAGCCGGCCCCGGTGGCCGGGCCAGCGGTGTCGCCTTACCCCCCCCCCCCCCCCGGGTGTCAGTGGGCTTCACATACTTCAACATCCCCTTATATTAGTATTAGTAGTATTATTATAGTACTGTACTATTGTACTGTGTTATTAATGTGGCAGTGGTAATTGTGACTGTGTTATTATCATCGCAACGTTCTCTCACTTGAGTGTGAGAGAGAGGCTTGCCCCCCCCCCATGTGTTACGGTCACTTAACCCTTAATAACTGATTTATTATTTTATTTCTATTATTATTTATTTTTTACCTACTTAAGAGTATAAAAAAAACGGAATTATCATTACTATTTCGGTCATAATTCGTTCATTACTACATTCACATTGTTACTTCTGTACATTGTAGTACTGTATTATTGTACTTTGTTATTAATGTTGCAGTGATAATTGTGACCGTGTTATTATCATCGCAACGTTCTCTCACTTGAGTGTGAGAGAGAGGGCAGTGGGCTTCACATACTTCAACATCCCATTATATTATTAGTAGTATTATAGTACTGTACTGCATTATTGTACTGTGTTATTAATGTGGCAGTGATAATTGTGACTGTGTTATTATCGCAACGTTCTCTCAGAGAGAGAGAGGCTGGGCCCCCATGTGTTACGGTCACTTACCCTGAATAATGTACAGTACTGAATTATCATTAATATTGCGGTCATAATTCGTCTTATTGTTGCAAGGCATATTCATATCATTGTTTGTGTGTTAGTAATTCAGCAATTATTACTACCGCATTATTCGTGTGGTAGAATTATAGTAAGTTTACTGTCACATGCACATTACCACAGTAATGGCATACGATTAATAATTATACTGTCGTTAACAACACATTCTTAGTATTGTTTGTTTAGTGACATTACAGTCATTACCACATTCACATTGTTACTTCTGTACATTGTTACAACACGTTCACATCGTTAAAAGTGTAATTGTATTACAGTAATCATAACTACCGTGTCCACATCACTACAGTATGTCGTACTGTATATTCATAATTACTGTATTAGTTTCATAGTATAATAATTGTTTTTTTCTACCCTTTTATCTGGCAACAAAACTGACACACACAGTGCATACATTATCAGAGTTGTCTGTTTTTTGTTTGCATTCCGACCGCAGGTATTGTGGTCAATGCAAACATGACTCCTTGTAAAAAAGGTGTCAGTTTTGTTGCCAGATGAAAGGGTAAAAAAACAATTATCATATTTTGCTACTGGCAAATGAGGTTCCAATGGTAGTTTCATAGTGTTACAGTAATTATTACAAGTTCAGTCACATTACCATGTTATTGGTCAGCATAATTGACAGTTATGATAATTATTGCAACCTCACAAATATATGATTAATGGTATACAATAGTTTAAATTACGACTACTATATTATCACGACAAAATTCCAATTGTGAGTACTGTATTAGTGTTGCAATACAACAATTATTAACTACCACCACATTGCAACACATTGCTGGTGTGTTCGTATTACAGTAAACACGTTTAATTAATACTTTGATGTTAGTCATTAGGATCATTTTTACAAAGATATTAGTGTTATTATTGCAGGAATTATTGCTACCACGTTCACATAATTACATATCAATGTCATTGTCATGATAAATTACATTTATAGTCTACTCGCGTTCAAAAAAAACAATACACCCTCCATTGCCATAAATCATGATATAATCATTGTCACGAATATCGCACTCACGTTATTCTGAGCGTTACATTTTTCCTGTAATTATAATACTGTATTACATTATTAGTGCGTTTGCTAGGTAGATTAGTGTTGTATCGCCGGATCGTAAGAGATTGCGACGGCTTGGAGAAGCTTTCATGCAGCAGTGGATTGATCATTGCTGCTGCTGATAGCAGCACTGATTCACATACACTTTCATTGGCCATGATATCTTTTTCTCTTGTTTATTCTGAACGCAACTTCTCATTACTACAGATTTAACTTTATTATGACATTATAGGCAGTCGTTCGTGTCCATGTCATTTCTGCTGCAGTCACTTTAAAGATCACTGCATTAGTACGTTATAGATGTATATTTTAAAATAATTATTACTACACAACATATATTCACATGAACTCTAATCGGTAACATTACTATTTAATCGTTTGTACTACCACATTCAGATTAATATAACTGCAGTATTGTACTCACGTGCAAGTTACTATTACTACTGCACATACATTTACATAATGTTTTTTATTCACATTCATTACGTTATTTCCATATTATACTCATGAATACATAGAGTATATCATCAACACTCTTCTCAGTTGCTTCTTAGCGACATGATAATCGTCAATATTGTCATTGTGACCATTCCACTTATAACATGATGGCTACTTATTATAGGCATCATTAATGTCACCATTATTAATATTCCTCTGCGCTTATTCACATCATTTTCACTACTGTACTCACATTTTATAACAATACATTATTACATTCACCATTATTACTACCTCTGTGACATTACCACTGCATAATTATGTATTATCTGTAATATTTTTGCTACTGTCTTCACATTGACCTGATTTTTTACTACAATATTCGTGATAGTACAGTACTGGCATTCATATTTTCATCATTTTCAGTAATGACCTGTCTACTACTGGATGTATTCCCCCACAATCCGCCACCACATTTCATGCTTTTCGGATGAAACGATCCATCCAACATCTGCTTATCGGTCCATCTCCTCTGTGCACGTCCTCTTGGTCGGATTCCATTCCTTGGCTGTCACACTGTTATTTTGACCACCCCTTCTTGTAACGTGCTACCCAAAGTCCACTTTCCTTTAATATTTTTGGATGATGTTAAACTGCATGTGTTGTCTGTCAATGTAGTGTCATTAATTCCAAGCATGGATCTCAATGCTTTTTTACTCACTTTCAGTTTTCTTTATTTTTCGTTAATGACCATTTTTCTGAACCATACTAGTAATGCTTAATTTCGCTAGTATTCACTTGGTTACAAGTGCCGAGTGAACAAAAAGTTATCTTTTAATTTAAATGGAGTAGTTTTTCATAATAGAGGTATTTTAGGTTAGATCGCGTAAATATAGAAATGTGCCGTTAACTACTGGAGTAGTTTTGTTCGTATTTGTGTTATACCCTCCATTTATAATCTGGTATATTGTTTAATACTTTGACAATGTATTTCCAATAGCGTTAACTGTTTGATAAAGTAGTTGGGTGTGAAATATCGTAGAAGGTATTAAAAATGTGTATTTTATGTTACATTTTTAAATGTTTCATCACATGTAATCAAGGTATTTATTTAACATTTTCTCTTGTAGAATTTTTATTTTACAATTGTGTTGTAAGATAACGACAAAGTATTCTATTCTAGAAAACAATGCATGGGGATCTTGATTAAACTGTATGTCGCTCAAAGCTTATGCAAATAAAATTCGGCAAAAAAAATTTCATATTGTATTTGATGAGTTGCAATCAGGTCATCGCATGAGGAAAAGCATTACTAGATGTGTAGGTGAGGCGTTGTGTACAGTGTATAACCGTACCCAGTACACTAAGCATGTACTTCTGTATCAGTGGCTGGTTAAAGCCAACAACCCAAGTGCATAAAAATAGGATAATACCATCATGCAGCTCATCGAAAGTTGATGAGTAATGTGTTTGTAGTATACTCGAACTCGCACAGTTACATGTGATGTGAATTTATAAACTACAGCACTAATTTCATGTTATTGATAATCTCCCAGTAAACAAAACGTTTATTTAACATAATTTATTGGAAATCAGCTGTATATGCCAATGAAGATAAACGAGTAGAAAATATTAAAGAATGTAATTTAATGTGTGTCTATAAAATACATACCGCGTTTATGTTAAGGATTAAAATTATGGCATATCCTGCTTCGTAGATGTTTCCTCTGTCTTAAGAAATTTCACTCATTGATATACTTTGATTCTGACAAACCTTTTGGAGTGCACTTAGTCATATTCAGCAAAGTGATGCTGAAGTACTTAAAATTTTTACTTTCTCGACACATGTAATGTAAAATGTGAAAAATTAAATACTTAATGGTTGGTTTTCAATTCATAAATGATTGTTAAAATAGAATTGAGCCATGTAACTTGACCTGGGTGCTGTTTCCTCATCACGATTAAAAAGTTAACTGTACTGGAATATGAATTCCATGTTCGTCTTTTTACTGTGATTTACAGCAGTTTCACTTTTGTAGCTGAATCTGCTACTTGAGCCGGGATCTTTTTCCCCTTGTTACATTTTCACAATATTTTTTTCTAAGAAAATATTTGGTTAGGCAGCAAACAATTATCTTGTATGAATACCCTTTAATTGGTCATTGCTGTTGAAGCTGCAATTAACCAATCTAATGACGCCGTGTAATAATACTAATATATAAATGAGTTCAGTGGTATTTCGAATAACTTTATCAGCCGCCTATTTTGGGGTTCGTTTAAATGCACAGCAAGATATGTATGACTCATCCAACAAGGCAACCATCCATTCCTCAGCTGCCTGTTATACCCTTGCCCCAGTGATGGCCACTGAACCTTCTGATGCAGTGGTTCTTGTTTTTTTGCTGTTTTAGTATGGCAGCCCCCACTTACGGTACTTGATTTCTCAATTGACGTGTTGTATATTAGTGTTGTTGTGTGTATATGTGTGGCTTTTCGCCACACATGGCGCTGATATTCCTTGCACACATTTGCAGTTTCTTGTGTACGGTATCCATGCTACAGCCTGTGCCCTCCCTGTGAACTGGACATCTGTGAAAAAGAACCGTATAGCTAATTGTATTCCTCCGGTATAAATACATATTCTGATTCTAAACGCCTGGGGAGCATGACTCATGAGTTGAGAACCGCCTTTCTAGTGTTTTCATTTCATGTGCTTCAGTGTGCACACTGTCAATTTTCTTCCCACGAAAACCTCAACTATGTTACAAATCTTATCAAGAGCCACACTGTGTGTTATTTTTTGTTGTGCTTTAATTAGTTTGCTGTATAATTGTGGTAAATGCTTGTACAGGCCTCGGGTGTGGCGGTGAGTGATGACGTCATCAGAGTCTTCAATGACATGAAGGTGCGCAAGGCATCTTCAGCTGAGGAAGTGAAGAAGCGCAAGAAAGCGGTGCTCTTCTGCCTGAGTCCTGACAAGCGGCAGATCATTGTGGAGCCGGCCAAGGAGATCCTGGTGGGCGACATTGGTCAGTCGGTCGATGACCCATATGGCGCCTTTGTCAAGCTGTTGCCACCCAACGATTGTCGCTACGCTCTCTATGACGCCACTTACGAGACGAACGAGAGCAAGAAAGAGGATCTTGTCTTCGTCTTCTGGTGGGTGAACCCAAGGGGTCCAGCAATATTAAGCATTTTACTCCGTCTTACTCCATTTTGCTGGCACTTTTGTGAAATGGGTAGTACGTTAACTGTCATTCCAGCAGTGGGTAAAACAGCAGCATTGTTTTTGCTGTGGGCTGTTATAGTTGATATTAATTCTGGAAGTTGTCTTTGTCGATTTATGATCAAAGTTACTTGATCTTATTGTGTGTTTGTAGGTAGTGTTTTATTTCCTTGGATTAATCCCAAATAAGCAATTGGAAGTTGGAACTTTAATCTTGTTGATGTATTTATTGGTGTCTAACTTGATGTAATAATTTTATTATGCAGTGGTTAATATACATATAGGTTTATACACTGGTTAATCACAACTAGCATTTTTTTGGGACCATCAATAAGTACCTGCTTTAACCCCTAACATTGTCCTGTTATTACTAACATTTTATGATGGGTTGGAATCTGAGAGCTACCTTGAAATTAAATGGGGTGTCATGATTGGTATTCATGACAAGTCAAGTTTATTTGTTTAACCTCCAGGATATATAAAGATTCTGTTTCTGAGAACTCACAAAACCAGGACAGTGTCATTTGCAAGCATAACCTGGGTCACTAAAATTAAATATTTGTGCTTTAAATTTTTATGTGTCTGTGTGTCATTGTCACTCAGGGCGCCTGATAGTGCACCACTCAAGAGCAAGATGATTTATGCCAGCTCCAAGGATGCCATAAAGAAAAAGTTCACAGGTAACACAGCCCCCAGGCCTGCACATACACTACTAAATACAAAGGTTAACTTAATGAGCATTTTATCAGCTATAAACACAAGTAACAATTAATTTAGTAAACGTTACCTCTTTTTATCTAATGTAAAAGGCAAAGATGTAGTTCCGTAATTGCTTGTTTATGCCATTGCTGGAGGGGGGATGGTCTCCACTGGAGAGAGGCACTTGGGTGTATTTGGTCTCCTCTTCCATACTGGCCAGATTGCTTTATCTAATGTACTATGATATTTAACTTGTGATTTATTTATCAGTTGATATGGTCTTATTTAGCAAAGTGAAGACACCATTTTTCATTTGACTTAAAAAACGATGAGCATGTCATTTTTTTTTGGATACCCATAATGGGGTGTGCCTTACCGGACGTTTAATCACTTGCGATGCAGGCATCAAGCATGAATGGCAGGTGAATGGCATGGAAGACATCGGGGACCGCTTGACACTGGCTGAAAAGTTGGGTGGAAATATTGTGGTCACCCTGGAAGGCAAGCCCCTGTAGGTGTCGCCCTGGAAGGAATACACTCCCACCTGTACTGAGCAGGCCAGCATGGGGGAATGAGCACTGCACAACCAGCGTTTACCTCCAGAGACCATGGCCATGTGCAGCTTCCACTGAAGCCAACTCCACGACAATAAGCAATTTGAAAATACAAATGGAGTGGTTGTCCAATTAAATTGCCCTTCATAGTGTTCAAAAGCATTGCATATTGCTTATTTTATTGTTGCAATGCCACGCATGCATTTTAGCCATGTTCTAATTTACACATGTAAATTGGATATCTAACAGGGAGTTCCTGCAATCTGCGGTTCTTACATTGCTTAATGTGGCAGAAGTGGAGTTGGAATTGTCTGTCTCTGGGGGTATATCATTTTCTCTTGACTGGTTTCTCTAAGGAAAGTTCCAGCAAGAATGCCACTAGTAGCCAAGTGGAAGATGGAACTAAAGCCCACTTTTTTTTTGTTATTTTTTGCATTCACAACAATGTGGTTGGGGGGGGGGGATAAGTGCGATAAGATAGTGGCTACGGTGAGATATATGTTTTGTTATTTATTATTTGTTGGTTTGTGGATGGCCTTCAAAATGCCAGCTTTTATTTTGCCTGTCTGTGGAAAACCCCTCTGTTCCCTTCTTTGCTTCACCTGCCCACATCCCCCTCCTTTCAACTGACCAGTTTATTTTGCTGTAATGATCGCTGTTGGTATTTTTCAACTTGGTATAAGGTCTTTTAGCTTTCAACATTTGATTCGAGTTATTTTAACACTACAGACATGAGCTTGTAGAGAGTCCTTTGAATGTGAGCTTTACAATTTGAAGAAGCTTAAATGCAGGAATGGTCAAGTAAAATAATTGGCACCTGCACGTATGAAATTCTGCATCTCTTTTACTGACTGTGGTGTCCAAGAGCAGGGGAATTAGTTCAGTCAGCCATCAAGCCTCTCCTGCAGGCTTGCACTTAATTATTTAATGACATTTTAATTTTGCCTTTCCAGCATCTCTTTCGTGTGTTCCTAATCTCTCAATGGTACTTGCAACCGCAGCAATCTTGCCCTCTTATATTTGTGCACATGTGAACAACACTAACTTTGTCAAACTTCTGACAGCAATTTAATTCACTTATGAACTTATAACATTGCAGCTGACTTACTCAATCTATCCAGAAGTCACCAAATGATATTTCAACTGATTCCAAGAACACAGGATGAGATCTTAAAAAGAACCTGCACACACAATTGCTTCAGGTGTCACCACATCTATATACAAATCACCAAACTGCTGTTATATTTCATGTGTGGTTTTGGAACGGTAATGTGGGTCTTGTTTCGCTTGTATAAAGCTTAGTTCACATTTATATAGGGTTGTGCCAGTTAATCTAATTCATACTCCATTTTTTGAAATCAAATATTTAAGCCAATAGGGGATGTGTGGTGCAGTCAACGGTTTAGGTTGGTGACAACGACTTAGCTCATCCAACCAGTTTTTTCCTAAAAAGGTACCCTACACCACTGGTTTTCTGCTCACCCCCTACACAGCAATCTGAAATTTATAATGAGACCAGTGCAATCATTTAAGTCGGTGTCAAATGCTTTGCACAAGTGTATGTATGCAAGTTAAGACTAAGCAAATGGCTGCCGTCAGCCACAAGGTTTGACTGATGGGAAAAACATTTGTATGGGGCGGAGCTTTAGCAAGTGAGAGGTGATGCTGAAAGCATCTGACATGGTGTACTCTGCAGTTGCTATGAGCAGGATTGTAGCCATTGAATGTCCTAAATTTCTACTCGATACAAATTGCTCAGTTTGACCTTGGGAGGGCTTATTTATTGTGCCAAAACTTTTGAAATTTTACACTTGCTTCCAAATATTTTGTTTTTGTAGTAGTAAAATATCAGAAACCACAATGTGTATGCAACAGTAAAGTGTTTATTTTAGTAAAACTTGCTATATTGTACAGCTAGGTATTGTCACTGTGGGGGTTAGGTACTTTTTGAGCATTTAGAAGAAAATAGTTCACATATATAAATCTGCAATATTGAATTTCGAAGGATTTGCACTGAACTGGGCAAAGAAGGTAAAGCTATATCCCTACAGGGTCCGTTTCAGTTGTTAGGACCTTTCATCAGGTTTTAAACGGCTGTTTCGTAATAGTTAAATCACTCTTAGTCCTGTGTCACATCATCCTTTTGAGAGCAAAGCCTGTTTACAATGCCTTGGTGAAAAATGCATTGCTCTTTACTGTTTGGTTGTTACTTTTGATCAGCTGTTGAATGTTCTGCACCACGCGGTATCAACTTGTAATACATCTGCTAATATTGACAACTGGGTGATACAATTTCGATGGGAGGGGTGCTCTATGATTTAGAGCAAATCATCCATGCCACTGAGGTCTTGTAAACCATCCCAGTAAGGGATCAGGTGGTTATGTCACGCAGCATGCCAATGTGTGTACATCACTTGTCAAATTTAGCTACACTCCACTTAAAACATAAAAAAATGTGGCATATTTTGGGCACGTGCAAGTTAGATTAAAACTGCATACCTAGACATCAGATAATCAATTTATCACTGATGGTATAAACTGTGGGCTCAATGCAATTAATTCATGCTAATTATAAATTCAAGGTGTCATGGATGTAGTGTTTTTTTGTTGCCATAAAATTTAATTAATACAGTAAACGTGACAGCATTTGTATCAAAATAAATATTAGGCTTCACAAAGCCGCTGCTGTCAGTGTAGTGGTGCACTAATGCAAAGATAATTCATGCTTTTCATGGGTTGGAATATTGAACAAATCTAGACAAACGGCTTGTTCTTCAAAAATATTTTAATTTTCAGAATAAACATTGGCAGACAATCCAGCAAAATAAACGAACTTTGTGCTTTATTTGCTTTATATGAATGGAAACCCAATTTGGTTTTGGCTGTTGATCCAGAAAACATACATCAATCCAGTGTTAAACTTGATGACTGGATCCATCAAAGTTAACATTTCATGTGTATTGGTCTTTATATGCAAATTAGGTTCCTGGTCGTTGCTAATCATTACATGCATGCCATTTAATTTAGTGGTGATGGAAACTGGTGGTTAACTAGGAGGTATGCAGAAGTCTATATGACCTTTAATACTATGATGAAATGTACATTGACATGTGGAAGTGATGACATTTACTCCAACTGGAGATGTGTGCATGTGAGGTGTAGTTTAGAGGTGGGAGGGTGAGTGGGCAGTGAGCAATTTGAATTGCTCGTCACTAATCCTGGTCAATACATTAATCAACCACTCAATTTTACAGAACATTTATTGCATTAACTGAAAGTGGTAACCTGTTCCCGACTGCATAGTGCTGCACTTTGTCAAAGATGGAAAAAATTAAGTGTAAATGTATCCTTGGATACACGAGGTGAGAGTTGAACGCACGTTGAAAGGGCAGCACTCGGCAGAGAGTGAAAGCACTTAAAAAAATTGAGCCCATCTGATGTGGTTTTCATCCAGTCTCTTAACACTATATAAAACGTCCACCCCAACTAGCCATGAACACTTTCGATTTGCTTTAAGGAAGAAAAAAAAGTACTGTAATGCACTGTCCTTGCTTTGCGTTGCTAATTCTGTTGCTGCTCGATTGGCAAGGGACTAGAGTTTTAAAAACATTGCAATTCTATGCCAACAGAATTACAACATACCGTGGTAATCAGGAATTAAACTCGTATAACGCTGTCCATATGTCATGTCAAATTATATACAACAAAAAGACAGGTTGAGTCCATTTGTAATTATCCCATGGGATTATCTCCATCAAAAAGTATGCAGTTAATGGGATGGGGTTTTTATGGCATTTAAGCAAGATGTAGCCCTTGTGCTTTCAATTCCGGTTTTTAGAACACATCTGGTTTGTGTAGCAGCCCTGCTGGTGTAGTGCACATAATGCCATGTGCAAAGCCTTAGTGCAAAGACTAGTGATGCAATTAGAAAAAAAGGGAACAGCTTTGTGTACACAAATGTTTTTCCTGAGTGAACAAATTAAATTACATGCAAAGTGTGCTGTGTTTACGTTGGAGAGCGTTGTTATTCTTGTACTTGTGGTTTTATTCTTAAAACAATGCCCCAATTTTTATTATGTCATTGTGACGAACTGAAATGTTTATCTTGAAATATTATTCCATGTAGAATATGGGACTGCCAATGAGGTAAACGTTGCTATTACAAGTTTGTCATGCTGGCCTGGCAGTGGAGCAATCGCATACAATTCATCTGGAAGTTGGAATACAAATGAACACCGTCTGAAAGTGTTTTATTCTTTATAGCACAATAATACATTCACGTCAATATACATAGCCAAGCTTTCCTGGAGGTCACAAAGTGACCTACCATTTTTCTCTCTCAAACTCCTGCAATGTAATGTCCAGCAAATTCAAACTTACGTGAAAATCCTGTTAGTCCCATCATTTGCAAAGGTATATTTTACATATGTATTGAAAATATGTGGAATTGCAGGAAGTTGGTGGCAGTCTTCATCTGCATGTGATGTTGTGTGCTCAGAGCACACGGTAAAGGTGGATGCTTTCCAGTGCCTCGTGGTCCATGCCTTCTCCCAGATAAACGCTGTAGTCGAGTGGGACTTCGCACACCCACTCACTCACATTAACACCCACCTGCGAAACGAGAACTGAATGTCGCAGGTTTCGGTAACCTAGTGACTTGTGGAATGCATAATTTTCAATGACTTAGTTTCAGGTTATGTGCATTTTATTTAATCGCTTTAAAATAATTATAGTACTTCCATCAAGTGTCAAGGAATGTAATTTAGTCAACTTTCATATCCAAGCTGAATCATACATTATCATTCAAATCCCTTATATAAAAAAATCACTAAGTAATTCAAATGTGCCATCTCTGCACGTTAAAAAATGACAGCTGTCTACTTGGCAAAAGAGCAGTGTGGATAGAAAATGGGGATAGTTGGATGAAGATTTTAAATTGCTATGTTACTCCCAAGGTACTTTAAATGCTACAAAACATGCACTGCCTGTACGGTTGTTTTTAGTGACACAAAGGTGATTTATTCCATGACTGGTAGTTTTTGGAGTGTCCTGGCATAAAAGGGTTCATTCAGTATATTCCCATTGTAAGCTCTGACCTGCAAGCGGCCAAGCGACTCCTCCAAGCTGGGCACAGTGAGCAGAAGGCAGCCTGGTTTCCTCACGTGTTCCCGCACAAAGTGCCAGCACCTTTCAACAAAGCAATACGTCATGTGGTAAAGGCACCGTTAACAGATTTAAGTTCAGCTGTTGTAGTGTAAATTGGAGGTGAGTTGTACAATTTACACAAATAAGTGCCTTTTTTGCTAATTGTTCCATTATCTCAGGTTTTCGTGGAAGTGCTATAGTTATGCATTGTAAGCTTTTACAGAACGTTTCCATCGAGCCGATTGCAGAACTGGCTGACATTTCCACGTAGATCAACCGTCCACAGCACGATACACCAAGACATCTTGATGTGAATTGGAAAGAGAGGTGTTGCTGACTGACGTTGAGTAATAGATTAGATTGTCAATTAATTTAATTAATCTGAACAAATAAGTTAAATATTTTTGTTCGTGTCCTGCCGAGTGGTTTCTTTGTTGCCCCCTTTCAGTATCTGCAGAATATCCACTTGTAAGGTTAAATGAAATCATAACCCCTGAATGAAAAATTCAATATTGTGACCATAATATAGTTGGCATAAATTAATATATGTAAATATGTTAAGTACATGCACCGAATAGTTTAAGTATAAATAAACATTCATTTACCGCAACCCTGTATTGAGAAAATGAGAATCATTACAGGCTTATTCTGACCACATTGCTTCTAGTCGGAATGAAGTATGTATTAAGCCAGTCATGTTATTGTCAGTGTAGTGTAGAATAAAGCTACTCAAGGGCCTCAGCCCCATGGGTTAGAATCCAAATTAGTATCAGGTGGTGGAAAGGACTTAGAAATACCAGTTTCTGTATATTGTTAATAGAAGTAAGTGTATTATGTGATATACTTATCTATTACAGAACTTAAATATGTTGGTACAACTGGTGTTTTGACATTTCACTTGATGCCCAACAGGTAAAAAAAATGTGGTCTGGACCCATGGACTAGCAATAAAGGCTTCACTCGTCACACCTGGCTTGGCTCTCTGGGTCCATGAAGTACTCAAACACGTTGTTCATAACCACCACATCTGCCGTGCCCAACAGATCTCCCTGCGTGCAGATGTCTGCACACACCACCTGCACAAGCCCACACACACGATGGGAGCTGTCGACAATCCGGCCAGTGCTGTCCAACGTGATATTTTTCACTCTTTTTCCATCGGCTACTGCAGAATTGATAAGTTACGGTTTTTAAAGGCTTTTCATATTTAGTACACCAAATTAAGTTAAAAGCAAGGGATGGGGAAGCATTTCATTAACTGAAGGCTGAATAGGGGATTTAAATTTTTGTCATGCCGCAAGATGTGACATTAAACTTTGATCACGCTAGGACTGCATTGTCCTCAGGATTACCTGCAAGAAAACAACTGACTGTGCTAAAATTAGAACTGCAGTGTTGCCAGGTCTAAAATATTCCCCTCTAGTATCAGTTTTTAGCAGCTGTAATATGCTTGCTGTGATGGATAAATGTCATCCGTGGGCCATTTCTAAGTGGTTGACCCCCTGGACTGAGGGCCATAGGCTCCCCACCTTTGCGTTAATGGATACATGACATGCTCATGTGTTGCACTCGCCTCAACCCGGTCTGCCATGTGGTACTTTTCCAGCATGGCCTGCTGCAGGGCGCACATCTCTCCACTGAGCTCCACGCCCACAATGCGCCTTGCAGAGCTGTACAGGTAGGCCTAGAGAAGTGGGGATGGAAGCTCTGTAGCAGGCACGATGCTATGTATTATAGGCTAAAGCAGGGCAGAGTTCAAAGTACTGTGCAGTTAACCCGTTAACCTGAGTTCAATTCCTGGACACGACGAAGATCGGTGGCAAATATATGAAGCAGGCTTGAGCTTTGCAAGACCTTTACCAACCTCAACTGACCAGTGGTGAAGTATGTAAAACTACCCCATCATTAAAACATGTAGAGGCTTTCAGCAACAGTGTGGCAAAGGGCTGTACATCACATTGTAAGCTATATGGAGGTCGGTTGGCAGATGAGTGGGTCAATATACCATTGGGCCCAGTATGAAAGCAGGTCAGCTTGGCTCAATCCCTGATACATATATGTTGATAAGCCTAATTATGCAACACATCAATCACAAATTATTTGGTGATATTCTGGTGGTAGTGGTGTACAAGCACAAATAAATCTGTCAATTTCACAGTCTTATAAAACTATGAGGCAATGTTGTGTGCAATGCTCCTTTTTCAAAGGCATTTGCACCCTTATTTTTACGTGCTCTAAAGAAGGGCTCTTGTTTAAAACATTACCTATCTTCTGTTTTCCTTTAAGGCAGTGTTATTGATGAGTGTTGCATTCAGTATACAATAGTTTATCCAACAATTTATCAATTGTGGCAATGGAAAACGTGTTTTCGATAGCCGTTTCCTACTGAATGAAAGTAGTAAATCGAATTTTCTGCTCTATTTACTCGAGCACGTAATTTGTGACAGTTCATGATCACGACGCTGCTGCTATGTATGACTAAAGTCACTTTTGATGTATTTTGTAAACAAGGGAACGTGGATTGTGACTGAAGTTTAAGAAGTACATTTTTCTAATTTTAAATTAACTAATTCTCAAGTGCAAACCATCACAGGTTCCACACAAACTTGCATGCTGGTCTGGTACCCACGAACCAATCCTATGCATGTTCTAGATTCTGGAATATAGGTAATTATGCACATGGAACTCTATTGGGGTAAAATCATAATGTATAGCTCTTTGCCAATACATTGCGGAAGGCCTTCCCACGCCACGTCAGTTATGGGGATTGTTTGTACTTCACCCCGAAGTTAAGAGGGTGGCCCATGACTGGTTCAGATATCACTCGTCACTGATGCGAGGCATGGCCGAGAATTGAATTCGGAGCTCCGAGTTGATATCACAGTGTACTAACCACTGCGCCACTGCTACGCCCCTATTATAAGCCATGCTCATTCAACTGCTGAATGGCATCCACAAGCCGTCACAATCTCTCCATATTATATGTGGTGTAACTTAATAATTAACCAAGCATGACGTGGGTAGGTTCGCTCACCCCATAAAGCACAGGGCCCAGGCGTGATCCCACGTCCAGCACTGTGCATGTGCTCAGGTCTGGAAGCGCGTAACGGAACAAGAACTTCACCTCCAGTGCTGAGAAGGAGTGTGAGATGAATTCTGTAGGAAGCAGAGACCAGCCCATTGTCAACAGCGTGAGCAACGGCCGTATCCAGCTTGCCCCTGTCGTACTCCATTCTTCATAGCCCGACGCCTAGTCCCCTCTGCTCTGCGCCCCCCCACCCCCATGCATTTGTACCTCCTGCACACTCGATAGCTACGCCACCGGTTATCGTCATTACCCAGGGGTTTGGTGCGATGAGAGCCGCAGTCCATGCAATAAGCTCGGCTTAGGGTCCCGCTTGCCCACGCCTCCTCCAGGGCTTGTTCATCGTACACAAATGCGTCCACATGTGCCACGGGCGCTCGCTCCTGTATCGTGTGCACAAATCAAAGACAAAGCCCCCCCCCCCCCATATTGAGCCCTCCAGTGCAGACCAGGGGTGGGGAACCTCTTATTGAGGACCGAATAGGGTTTTTAAATGCCTTAATTGGGCCAAACATTAGACAGCAGGTGACTGTTCTAAGATTAAAAACATTATTGCCAGGTCGAAAACATTCCCCTCAAGCATCCGATTAGTGTGGCTAAATGCTTGCAGTGATGGATAAGTATTGTTTTCGGTTCATGTTGAAGTGGTAGGACTCGTGTGACCACAGTCCTGATTCAATAAAATTGTGGGCCCAAAGGCTTCTCACCCCTGGTGTAAACTGTTGAACAAGCTGCGGTGAAGGCCAGTATAATACTTTTGGATGCCAGTCATTAACGGGAAAACATGAAAATGCCTCGGGCAAGAGAAACATTTCATGTCACAATTTCTTTGGCACTCATGAACAAATTACTCTCGGCAACTTAAACAGTAACAAAAAAGATGTGCAGCCCTTTTGTCAATCCACTGCTGGGTGAGGGCCTCTCCAAGCTGTGCCGGTTGTGGGGGATATTTAATCTTACTTCAGCCTGGTCACTACAGGTTGGTGAAGATGGTGAGCATAAATGTAACAAAAAATAAGAGGTCATTCCAATGTGTTTACCATTGAAATAAATATACTAAAGGACATACAGACACATCTACTGTATGAACATTCAGTTTTAATTATACCGTAGTGGCCATCCAATAGAAATCTAGCCCACTCATCCCCCTAATGAGAAAATGGAATGTCCACCAATGGCTCAGAAATGTCAACAGATACAAGCGGCTGTCCCAGTGCTCATTTGAGCAGCGAGATATTCTTGAGTTATGATCGCAGACGGCACAAGCAAGAGGCACCTCTGGACTCGATACGACGACCCCGCTGGGTGTGTCCGCGCAACGGAGAGAGCCGGGATTCCTGGATGACATTGGGACGAGCTGCTCTCCAGGAAGCAGGGCCGAGGGTGGCAGCCTCTCCCGCAAGTCCTCCGCTATGCATCGCAGGATTGTGTCACAGTTGTCCAGCTCCTGATCGTTGCCAAGGCCCTCGCCTGCACGCAGCAGAGGCCCCAGCGACGTGAGGATCTGGGTGGAGTTATCGTCACATCGAACACTTTTCCACAACACTTAAAAAATAGATAAACAATGTCTCCTTCATATATCAGTTTAAACAAAAGCATTGTACTGTTGTGCGAAAGATATCTGAAAGGACAAACCATCTCAATGCGATGCTAAAAGCACAACCAGGATAAAACGATGGGGAAATGGTGAAAAAATGTATGCAGTATAGTGCCTAAATCTTGACTTAAAGCTTTCGTGACTGCAGGAATTCATACTCTTTGGGTCGTTCGGTAAAGTCACGTAGATAGAAAAATAAAAAAATAATTGGTCAATGTATGAGGATCCGAGAAACCCCACACCTTCAAGTATGGTAATGCACTGTGTCTAAAGGTGTTCTCACAAGTTTACAAATGTGCCCTCCTCACCAGTATCAAAATGTTCTCACCTCTTCCAACCCTCACCTTGTACCTGTGCCCTCATCTGCTTTGGCATACCCTTTTTGCCCGTCCCAATGAGCCCTCGCCTATCTCAAATTCTTCTCACCCTGGATCTCAAATATCCCTCACCCGTTCTCAAATAATGTTTACGATCTGAATGTGCCCTGATCTACAGTGCAGTACATCTCAAAAGTACCCATTTACAACACAATGGGTCCCATCGGCTCAGAACTATGGATAATTCTGTATAAAGATATAATTGCTCTGGGGTGGGCTACTGTGGGAATACACTCGTCAGAGGAAGGTAAGGGGCACTAACAATGAACAGGTCTTTCCTATTCACATGTAAACACCTGGCGTGAAAATGCCTGTGCCTGTGTTGTGGTAGGCTGCATAGACTGTTGGAGCAAGTGCTGTTAGACAGCACCTTATGAAGGCTGGCACGGCCTTTGTCTCACCCAGTGCTTGACTGATCCCAGCACAAATACAAAATGAAGCGATGGAAACATTCAACAGCAGCTTGTAAGAGTGACCACCAGGGCTTTCCAGGTTTTATAGGCATGGGCTGCGAGAAGTAGCCAGAAAATGGCATCGGGGCCGTCCATAAATGACGTCACGCGATTTTTGACGATTTTCGTCTAACGGCATCACAAAAAGTCAGACCCCCCCTCAGTTACGTGGTGGTTATTCTCCAGGTTCTCGTTTCCTGGCACGTAAAGCCAAACACAGCATTGGCCACACAGCGACGCAGAACGCGCCTGGAAAACACTATTGACTTTTCCGATTAGCAGTTCTGGGTGAATAACTGGCAGTACAATTATATTTATACATCATTTTAATATTGGTCAACAATATTATTGTAGCCTGTCGATAATGTTCAGCCCTTTAGGCCACATGTCCATACCTGTCAACCACTTATCAGTGCCTACCTTATTACAGACCAATTCAAACCTTATCGGTCACCCCGTGCCCTTACACATTTCAACGTTCATCCTACAAGTCCCATTATTAGGGAGAAACACAAACATACATTTTCTTGTCTGTATTGAAACGGCTGTATGCCGTATGGACCTGAAAACTCAATTTCCCTGGACAAGAATACGGGGTCAACCGTCTGGGTTGACAGCTCTTCCTGTCTCCTGCAACCAAAAGCGTCGCCCCCTGCTGCTGGAAGTCTTCCTCTACACGCATGGGTGGGCCTCATACGGCCCGCGAAATTCAATAAATCTAGGAGCAAACCTGGAAAAGCAATTGCGAGTAGCAGCAACATCATCAATAGCAGCTAACATCACACGCCTCGCCAAAGAGAAGCGGTTCCAGCCATCACATTAGGGGTGAGTTAATTAAATGTTTGACCAAATATCACAGGCTAATTTTTAAGTTGGTAATTTTGTATGGCCCGCGAATTATCTTATGAATATCCAAATGTCCCTTGGCAGAAAAACGGTTCCCCACCCCTGCTCTACAGCATATACCTATCTTATCGTGACACTATCACTGCTACTACCATGGTGATGTTCATCATCCACTAACATCATCATCGCAACCATCACCATCGTGAATATTGTACATTATTAGCACACCACCACCACTATACTCGAGCGTGGATACAATAATTATCGTCACATTATTACTTATCCTTGCCACGGCCAACATCACTGTCGAATTTAATCAGAACCTGTTCTCGGCACGTTCCCTTCAACCCACACTGACCAGCGTGGTGAAGTATGGTCATGCAAGCTCCAATGATTGACACTGGTGCTATAAATCAATCAAGGGACTGATAAAAAAAAAACGAATAGGCTCCCTCGGTGGGAAGTCAACTGTGATTGTCCAACAGATAGGCTGTCTCCCGCCATAGGAACGTGGAATGTCCACCACTGGCTCAGGACAGAGCTCTTTGGACTGCCACTCGAACACTCGCGTCCCTGCAGCACTTTAGACCAGTGGCGGCTCCTGCAAAATCTCTCAGGGGGGGGCAAATGTCTGGATGATTGATAAGGATAAGGTCCACCCATGCAATGGATAAATTAACAGCTTAAGCATGTAAAGGCAACTTCACTTCTTTAATATTAATGAAAAATAAAGTGACTCTTACAATACATCCTGTTTGTTTCTACACTCACTATTAATATACAATGCACTCAAGTTTCTTTTATTAAAGATTCCACTAGGTGGCGACAAATTATATTGTTGGATGAAACGTGCTTACGTATGATGACGTGAGCACGTTAGGGCGAGCCCTCCCGGAAGCCATAGAGAATGCATTGCAGCGCCCCCGTTCGAAAAAAAACATCTTTGAATGTAAGTCTATGGGACCACTCGGGGCGATTCTCAGCCGGAGTGAAATCGCCCAAAAAGAGGCGGTACTCCACAGAACGTGACATGACGCTGATTGGACTATATCCAGAGGCTGACAGTGACGGCTAGCGTGACTCTGTGGTTCAATGACATTGGTGGTGCGTCGCCCAATCGCCCTAATGAAGAAACCGCCCCTGCTTTAGACACAAGAGTATAATTAATCACGAAGGGGCATCATCAAATCCACTGCTGCACGAGGTCTCTCCCCAAGCCATTGGTGTAAATGTTTGGTACGTTGAACTTCTTTCGCACCGTACGTAGCCAACCGTGCTCATCTGGAGCTCGCGAGGTACTCCACACCGAGTCTGCACTCCAGTTTATATTAAACATTGCATCGCAGACCAACGAGGACGTGCATCAACAACTTTCTGCAACAATCGATCACATCAGTTATTTCGTTCAATACCGAAACGTTAACACATTTAAATGCCAGCCAAATGAGGCGTGGGGAGCAACACAGAGAGCTCTCCTGCTCGAGCAGAGAGGGGCAGCCGTGGGTAGAGCAAGGAGTGGTGAAGTATGACGAAAGGGACTCACCACGCAGAGACGACGACCCCCGCAGCAGACACGAGGCCGCCATGCCGAGTACAGGGCCCGGCGCCGACTTACATTCCCTAGTGCGGATAGGAGCCAGTATGGAGACGCGGTTTGGTTTTCATACAGCGGATAGGTATGGATGTACGATACTGTACATTCCATAGAGCGGATAGGAGCCGCTACTGGGTATTGTTTAGTTTTCGTACAGCGGATAAGTATGGATGTACGATACTGTACATTCCCTAGAGCGGATAGGAGCCACTCTGGGGGCGCGGTTTGGTTTTCGTACAGCGGATAGGTATGGATGCACGATACTGAACATTTCATAGAGCGGATAGGAGCCGCTACGGGTACTATTTGGTTTTCGTACAGCGGATAAGTATGGATGTACAATACTTACATTCCCTAGTGCGGATAGGAGCCACTCTGGGGGCGCGGTTTGGTTTTCGTACAGTGGATAAGTATGGATGTACGATACTCTACATTCCCTAGAGCGGATAGGAGCCGCTCGTGCGGTGGGGGGGAGCGGTGGTGCAGCGGTTAGCGCCACGCTGCACCCAGAACCCAGCGGACCGAGTTCGATTCCCGCTCACGGCCAACACAACGCCGGTGACGTCTAACAGAACCGGTCCTGGGCACCCTCCTAGGTCGACTCAGCCTCAAACGATCGGTGGGCAAACATCGCCAGGGGAGGGGGGTTGAGAGGAGAGACAAAGGCGGTCGTGCGTGGTGCTGATGTCACCCCACGTGTGTGTGTGTGTGTCACAGTGCCGGCCTTTCAAAGCTTTCCTGCTGGGGGATCTTTGTCCTGGTGCCGAATCTTCCACCTCCGGGCGAGAGGTGAGAGGTCGAGGAGAAGGAGGAGGAGGAGGCGGCGTTGAGTCTCTGGCGGAGGCGCACGGAACCCGGCCACTCACCATGACCACCATCAGGACCTTCACTTGCGACGACCTCTTCAAGTTTAACAACGTGTGAGTGAGTGTGTGACTGACTGGGTGAATGAATGAGTTGTCGAGGCATTAGAATGCACGGCAGCAACCGAGAGAGAAGTCGTAGCCAGGACCCCCCCCCACCACCACTTCCATGTCAAAGGCGCCGCTCCATTCGGGCCTTCTTCTCGTCCTTCACGCACCCCGGGACGGCTCGTGGGGGTCGTTGTTGTTGTTATTGTTGTTGTTTTATAATGATACATGTTTGTTTCGATGTACTTCACCACTCGGTGTCGTTTTGGCGGGTCGGTGAAAGTCGCGTTGGGACGTTTGGGAGGAGCATTGAAGTACGGTACAACACGGCAGTGGATTCATTATACAAGTGTTAGATCGCGTAAATTTATAAATGTTGTGTCATATTATTGGTTCTTTCGGTAAAGTCACGTAGAAGGGAAATAATACATTTATTGGTTTATATTTATATTATTTTATTATTTCCCTTCTACGTGACTTTACCGAAAGAACCAATAATGTGAATCCCTGCAGTCACGAAAGCTTTAAATCAAAAATGTTGCGTCGTTAAATTTATATATTTTGTGTCGTTAAATTTACAAATGTGTCGTTAAATTTATAAATGTGTCGTTAAACCCGCCACCACCCGACAGAGACTTAGTAAGGTTTGCTCGGTAAACAGAACGTGTCACTTAGTTACTGGTAACAGCACACCGGCTGTGTGTTGGAGAGCCAAGGCACAACATTAACAAGCTCGAGTTCGACGTTTCGCCAGTAATTAGAACCGGCATAATCAGGCGACGGCCAGATGGTGATCCATTCCAGACACTTATCCAGGCTCAGAGCTGCGTTACTTTCGAGACCTGACGCTTTCTTTCTGCTATAAAGAAGGGCAATTGCACCATTGGAACCTCATTTGCCAGTAAAAATATGATAATTGGTTTTTTACCCTTCATATCATAGTTTTATTGGCAAATGAGGTTTCAATGGTGTAAATGCTTGACCCCGAGCTCTCATACTCTGATGGTGCATTGTCTTTGAGTTGTGCGCCTTTTGGCGTCATCTGGTCCAACACCATGTGAGACTAGGCTCTAAGGAAAGCTGTCTCGGGTGTGGACCAATCAACTTCAAGGACAGTGCATAACATTATCAGAGTTATGTTTTTTGTTTGCATTATGACTGCAGGTATTGTGGTCTATGTAAACATGACTCCTTGTAAAAAAGGTGTCAGTTTTGTTGCCAGATAGAAGGGTAAAAAACCAATTATCAAGGGCAATTTCCCCAAATGTATATGTTTTAATTAAGTTTAACACGTAGACTTTCGCGACCAATATCATCCATAATATAGCTTATTTTGGGTTCGATTGTTAATGTTGTGGATTTGTTCTCCAACACACCGGTGTGCTGTACTAGTAACGAAGTGGCATGTTCAGTTCACGTGGCTGTGTCGGGTGGTGTCGGGTTTAACGACACATTTTGTATTTACGCGATCAGACCCAAAAAAACCTCTACCATGGATATTTGTTATTCTTTTTAAGGCCGCAGTGTTATTGACGAATATGTTTCGTTTACTTTGTGCTTGTGCACCACTGTCAACGCAGCATCGCCACATCATTTTGTACAACCGCGTGTCAGACAGCTTAGCATTTCGATTATTTAGCTGCTATACATTTGCACATGCTGGGCCACTTTGTTCAGCTGTTTGTGGCCATGAAAAAGAAGTTAATACCTCAGTGGGCTTTAGCTGGTAAGACAAATGGTTTAGTCTTATTTGTATATTTTTTCTCACGTGATCTGTTTACCTTTCCTATACTTTGCACTCCCATTGTGTTTGTTGTATTGTTCATTGTTGTAACGTTCTGACCCGCCCCGACTGGACATCTGTGAAAAAGAGCTTTATAGCTCATCGGATTCCACAAGTAGAAATAAATATTCTGATTCTGAATATAACTGCATGTGAAACATTATGTAGGGCAGCGATCGGGAACCTATGGCTCGCGAGCCATATATGGCTCTTCCGGTGACGGCATATGGCTCCCAGACAATTTTGAGTTGAAAAAAATAATAATAAAAAAATACAAATAAAATCAGTTTGGAACTGATTTTAAAATACTTGTGATATCACTTAATAATAGTGTGTAATTTTAAAGTTAACAGAAATTAGTTTTTGAAGATAAAATTTCTCGGGTCACGGGTCCCGTGACCAGAAGACACATTGAATTTATTATACGTTAAAAATACTACATGGCTCTCGATGAAATATATTTAGAAATATTTGGCTTTCAGGGCTTTCCCAGTCAAAAAGGTTCCCGACCCCTGATGTAGGGTTTACTTTAATCGTTTTTAGTAACACTACTAGCTTAATACAATCTGATAAAAAAAAACAATGAAACTTATTATTTTATTGCTTCCCTTCTACGTGACTTTACCGAAAGAACCAAGAAGATGGATCCCTGCAGTCACGAAAGCTTTAAATCGAAAAATTATGCTGAGTACTTCGGAAGGTGAAATTTACATGTGTTTTTTGATATATTTTGTTGTTGCAGAAACTTGGACCCTCTCACAGAAACCGTATCCTTGAACAGCTCAAAACATGTGGTGGCGCATGCTTGCCAGTGCTTTGGATGCAGGAGACGGGGGATGTATGCGTACATTGGTCTACAATAAGTAATATTTAAAAATACTTTTAAAAAACCACGCTTTAATGAAATGTACCCTACTCGTAATGGCAGAACTCCACGACTCCAGGAAGTGGCCCCGAAGCTTGCCATAACGTAAGGGGCCGCGGTGATTTAGAGCCAACGTCAGTTGAGCATGGACAATTAGACCCAAGCCGAAACATAACATATAAAAATGAATGTTTAAAAATACTTTTTTTATAGAATATAGTATTGTCATCAGTATGACATTAGTATACCAAGTTTGCAGTCGATACCACATTGAGTTACAAGATTTGAGGATACGACAACAACAACAGAGCGACTTAAATAAAAGCGTGTAAAATGACAGCCAGTACAGCAAGTCCACTTATGTTAGTACCTCGTATGCCTTGGTTTTATCTGGGTTACTCCGGTTTCTTCCTTCACGCACTCCTTAAAACACCAGTTGGTCTAATATCCCTCTCGATGCAAGAACTTTATGAAAAATAATCTTGAAACTTTTACCATTATGATGACTTCATTTAAAGGGCACTTATGGATGGATGATCTGGGTGTATTAATCACAATACTCTGCATTGTCTGCTTCACAGTGAACGTGAAATCTCCCTTGACATCATTCGTAAAAGTAGGCCATTATCGTGTACCGACGTCAGCGTCCAAGTTTACCAAATTCGAGGATGATTCCGCAAATTACTCGATTGGGATTATGCACACAGCGGCAATCATCGCCACTTTCTGGCAGACCAATGCCCCAGGTCACTCTTTCAAATGAGACCCATCCTGGTCTCTGGAGTGGAGATGAAGCTTGCAATAAGTCTGTTGCTTTGGAGTGTGATTTTCAAAAAAATCTCCCATAATAAAGGGGCCTCCTAAAATCCTCCATTATATGTGGGACACAGTATATGTACCCTTGTTAGTTTGATACACTGTATAAGCATCACACACTTGTTGATTGCTTACTCTGCTTTAGTAGCTGAAAGTAAACTGTTGAAAAATAATAAAGGTGTTTCCTACGAGAGTGGAATCGGTGGTGAGTGTAAGCAGTGGCTGTGGCTGCCGTGTCAAGCCTCTTGGTCGAATCCTTGACACCACGCACAGTATGGGATCCCCTTCTACCTCCAGTACCTGGCTCACTGGCCCGAGTACTTCCTGCTAGCCGAGTCCGCGTCGGGTGACATCATGGGCTACAGTAAGCCTGTTAAAACTGTGGGATAGAGTGTCGCCTCCTCGCATGTGTGGGATTTCTGCGCGTGCTCTGGTTTTCTCCCACGTGTATAAACATTAATTGGCCGATAACACCTTCATATAGAGGACTGCAGAGCTTGGGAAATTGTTTGCGCCGACTTGCTGCCCGGCTGCCTTTTCCACTGTGGCTCCTTGCGCCCCTGAGTCGTTCTCTCTGAGAGTGTGCGAATACTGCGCGGTGCAATTCTGGGCCCCCCCTCTTTACTAACCCGCACTGGCCAGCGTGGCAAGGTCTGGTCAAAC